CATATTGTGGTACAGGGTATTATGTCTTTGTGCATATGTTTGTAACAGGCAACAGGAAACGAGATAGGCACATGGTTCCTTTTGACAATATGCATAGAATCACTTTCTAAGTCGATTTACGCATGTCCGCCCGTCCGTCTGTCCGTCTGTCCGCCTGTCCATGTTAAATTGTAAGCAAAGTACAGGTCGCATTTATGATCCGATTTGGATGAAATTTAACACAAGACACTTATTTGGCCCAAGGACAAACCATATAGAAATTCACGAAAATCGGTTCAGATTTAAATATAGCTCCCATATATAGTTTTGTCCAATTTAAGGTAAATTGGGCACCAAAGCCCCTATATGTCTTCCGATTTGCACGAAATATGGCATAGAGTTCTAAATTGAGCCTGGAGTGATGTATGCCAAGTTTCGAGAAAATCGGTTCAGATTTAGATATATCTCCCATATATATTTTCGTCCGATTTAATGTAACTGGTGCACCAATGACCCTATATATCTTTCGATTAGCACGAAATTTTGCGTAGGGTACTAAATTAGGTCGACACTGGTGTGTGCTAAGTTTCGTGAATATCGGTTCAGATTTAGATACAGTTCCCATATATATTTTTGTCCGATTTGATGTAAATGGTGTACCAAAGTCCCTTTATATCTTTCGGTTTGCACGAAATTTGGCACAGCGTGCTGAACTGGGTCTAGAATGATGACTTTTAAGTTTCGTGAAAATGAGTTCAGATTTAGATATAGCTCCCATATATAGTTTCTTCCGATTTAAGACAAACGGTGCATCAAAGTCCCTATTTATCTTTCGATTTGCACGAAATTTGACACAGCGTACTGAATTGAGTCTGGAATGAAGTGTGCCAAGTTTCGTGAAAATCAGTTCAGATTTAGATATAGCTCCCATATACTTTTTCGTCCGATTTAAGGTTAATGGTGCACCGAAGTCCCCAGATATCTTTCGATTTGCACGAAATTTGACACAGCGTACTGAATTGAGTCTGGAATGAAGTATGCGAAGTTTCGAGAAAATCGGTTCAGATTTAGGTATAGCCCCATATATATTTTTATCCGATTTTATGTATGTGGTGCACCAAATACCCTGAAAAAACTTCGATTTGCACGAGACTTGACATAGCGTACTGAACTGAGTCTAGAATGATGTGTGCTAAGTCTTGTGAAAATCGGTTCAGATTTAGATATAACTCCCATATATATATATATATATATATATATATATATTCGTCCGATTTAAGGTAAATAGGGCACCAAAGTCCCTACACATCTCTCGATTTGCACGAAATTTGGCATAGCGTACTGAATTGAGTATAGAATGATGTGTACTAAGTTTCGTGAAAATCTGCTCAGATTTACATATAGCTCCCATATAAAGTTTTGTCCGATTTTATGTAAATGGTGCACCAAAGACCCTATTTATCTTTCGATTTGCACAAAATTTGGCACAGCATACTGAATTAAGGGTAGAATAATGTGCGTTAATCTTCGAGAAAATCGGTTCCGAGTTAGGTATAGCTCCCATATATATTTTCGTCCGATTTTGTGCATATGGGGCACCAATGTCCCTACATATCTTTCGCCTGAAATTAGGCTAGTATGATGTGCGCTAAGTTTCGTAAACATCGGTTAAAATTTAGATATAGCTCCCACATATATATTCGTCCGATTTACGGTAAATGATGCACCAAAATCCCTATATATCATTCGATTTGCACGAAATTTGGCATAGCGTACTGAATTGAGTATAGAATGATGTGTGCTAAGTTTCGTGAAAATCTGCTCAGATTTACATATAGCTCCCATATATAGTTTTTTTCCGATTTTATGTAAATGGTGCACCAAAGACCCTATTTATCTTTCGATTTGCACAAAATTTGGCACAGCATACTGAATTAAGGGTAGAATAATGTGTGTTAATCTTCGAGAAAATCGGTTCCGATTTAGGTATAGCTCCCATATATATTTTCGTCCGATTTTGTGCATGTGGGGCACCAATGTCCCTACATATCTTTCGATTTGCACGAAATTTGACATAACGTACTGAATTGAGTCTAGATCGATGTCTGCTAAGTTTCGTGAAAATCGGTCCAGACTTAGATATAGCCCCCATATACATTTTCATCCGATTTAAGGTAAATGGTGCACCAAAGTCACTATATATCTTTCGATTTGGACGAAATTTGGCATAGCGCGCTGAATTGACCCTAGAGTGACGTATGCCAAGTTTCGTGAAAATCGGTTCAGATTTAGATATAGCTCCCATATAAATTTTCGTCCGATTTAATGTAAAAGGGGCACCAAAGACCCTATATATTCTTCGATTTGCACGAAATTTAGCATAACTTACTGAATTAAGGGTAGAATAATGTGTGTTAAGTTTCGAGAAAATCGGTTCAGATTTAGGTATAGCTCCCATATATATTTTCGTCCGATTTAATGTAAATGGTGCACCAGAGACCCTATATATCCTTCGATTTGCATGAAATTTGGCATATTGTACTGAATTAAGCCTAGAGTGATGTCTGCCAAGTTTCGAGAAAATCGGTCCAGATTTAGATATAGCTCCCATATATAGTTTCGTCCGATTTCATGTAAATGGTGCCCCAAAGTCCCTAAATATCTCTCAATTTGCACGAAATTTCGCATATCGTACCGAATTGAGTCTAGAATGATGTGCGCTAAGTTTCGAGAAAATCGGTTCAGATTTACGTATAGCTCCCATATATAATTTCGTCCGATTTTATGTATATGGTGTACCAAGGTCCCTATATATCTCTTGATTTGCACGAAATTTGGCATGAATTGAGTCTAGAATGATGTGTGTTAAGTTTCCTAAAAATCGGTTCAGATTTAGATATAGGTCCCGTATATATTTTCCTCCGATTTAAGGTAAATGGTGCCCAAAGTCCTTATATATCATTCGATTTGCACGAAATTTGGTATAGCGTAATGAATTGAGCCTAGAATTATGTCTGCCAAGTTTCGAGCAAATCGGTTCAGATTTCGATATAGCACCCATATATATTTTCATCCGATTTAGGGTTAATGGTGCACCAAAGTCCCTATATATCCTTCGATTTGCACGAAATTTGGCGTAACATATTGAATTGAGCCTAGAGTGATGTCTACCAAGTTTCGTGAAAATCGGTTCAGATTTAGATATAGCTCCCATATATATTTTCGTCCGATTTAAGGTAAATTGGACACCAAAGTCCCTACAAATCTTTCGATTTGCACGAAATTTTTGCACAGCGTACTGAATTGAGTCTAGAATAAAGTTTGCTAAGTTTCGTGAAAATCGGTTTAGATTTAGATATAGCTCCTATATATAGTTTCGTCCGATTTAAAGTACATGGTGCATCAAAGTCCCTATATATCCTTCGATTTGCACGAAATTTGACACAGCGTACTGAATTGAGTCTAGAATGAAGTGTGCTAAGTTTTGTGAAAATTGGTCCAGATTTAGATATAGCTTTCACATATAGTTTCGTCCGATTTTATGTAAATGGTGCACCAAAGGCCCTATATATCATTCGATTTGCACAAAATTTGGCACAGCATACTGAATTAAGGGTAGAATAATGTGTGTTAATCTTCGAGAAAATCGGCTCCGATTTAGGTATAGCTCCCATATATATTTTCGTCCGATTTTGTGCATATGGGGCACCAATGTCCATACATATCTTTCGATTTGGACGAAATTTGACATAACGTACTGAATTGAGCCTAGATCGATGTCTGCCAAGTTTCGTGAAAATCTGTCCAGACTTAGATATAGCCCCCATATACATTTTCATCCGATTTAAGGTAAATGGTGCACCAAAGTCACTATATATCTTTCGATTTGGACGAAATTTGGCATAGGGTACTGAATTGAGTCTAGAATGATGTGCGCTAAGTTTCGTAAAAATCGGTTCAAATTTAGATATAGCTCCCACATATACTTTCGTCCGATTTAATGTAAATGGTGCACCAAAGACCCTATATATCTTTCGATTTGCACGAAATTTGCCATAGTGTCCTGAATTATGTCTAGAATGATGGGTGTTAAATTTCCTGAAAATGGGTTCAGATTTATATATAGCTCCCATATATATATTCGTCCGATTTTAGGTAAATGATGCACCAAAGTCCCTATATATCCTTCGATTTGCACGAAATTTGACATAAGGTACTGAAATTAGGCTAGAGTGATGTTTCGTGAAAATCGGGTCAGATTTAGATATAGCTCCCATATATATATTCGTCCGATTTAAGGTAAATGGTATGCCAAAGTCCCTATATATCTTTCGATTTGGACGAAATTTGGCACAGCGTACTGAATTGAGCCTAGAGTGATGTCTGCCGGGTTTCGTGAAAATCGAGTCAGATTTAGATATAGCTCCCATATATATTTTCGTCCTATTTTGTGTATATGGTACACCAAAGTCCCTAAATATCTTTCGATATGCACGAAATTTGGCATAGCGCACTGGATTGAGCCTAGAATGATGTGTGATAAGTTTCGGTTCAGATTTAGATATATGTTTCCAATCCCCCTTTGCTACGCTCCTGGTTTCGGCTCCTTGACTTCCCCAGCAACCTACCGCCAAGTGCAGCAAAACTCAAGCATGCAGGTGGGTGTATGGCTTCAGTTAAAAATGCATAAAAAGGATATGCGAAAGTAAGGAACTTACACAGCTTACCTTTAGCCCGACACTTGATAGTCGTTTTTATCCTTTCCCTTCCCTTTTGCCTTGGCAAAATGAAAAACGCATTTAATAGCAATCAGTGTATAAATACAACAAAAGCAACACGACAAACTTTATTGAGGTACACGCTGTGCAAGCGAAAGGAATACAAAGGATAAGTGCTACGATCCTTATATGACATTTACGCTAATCGAATGTGAAGTTTAATTTTATTGGAAAAAGAAGGAAAACAACTTCAGGATGTCCTTTATATTGGAGTTTTTGAATAAATAAGTTGCTCGGAAGCTATTCTATATACTATCCAAGCCATATTCATTTAGCAGTAGGTTGGTTCCTCCTGCTGCCTGCTGGCGCTGTAGATCCAATAGCAGGCGATGACGAAAGTGCATGGTCTTCAAACGTTGCATGCGGCGCTTCAGGTTGCAGTAGACGGGGCAACAATCCGGGAAGGGTTTATACATTAACTCCTCCTCATCGCCCTGTTCACATTGGTCGGGTAAAATATCCAGGCAGCTGTGCGGATTTTTTCAACAACAAGGAAAAAATAATAAAAAAATAGGAATTAATAAAAAATTCTGGAAATAGGCAAATTCTCGGATGACGAAGTTGGAAAAATTTAGTTTTAAAATATCCACGCCTAAGGATAGTCTTTAACGCCTTGGTTGGGGTATTGAAAAATTAATTTTAACAAATCCAGACCTGGGTTGGGGTATTGAAAAATTAATTTGAAAAAATCCACGCCTGAGCTTAGCCTTTAAAAGATGAATTCTTCAATCAGACCTCCTTGTTGTATACGTGTTGTCACCACTCATACGCATAGGAGTACCACGATAATTTCTTGCGATTTTTTCTCACATTTCCAATCCCAATTTTTCCAACTTCGACATCGAATATTTTTTTTTCATGCAACTACTTGAATTTTGTTTTGGTTTTTTGTTTTTTAAATTGGAAACTATATCTACTCGTTGGGTCTAGCCATCTTTTCGACTACAAAAAGAGACCTGGATCTGGCTACAACATGATTATTTTCACAAAATAAATTTTGGCACAAACTCAACAGCACCAGGCGGCGTGGCAATGATTTCGATTGTTCCCACAGGCAGCGGCGATAGGTTCCTAAATAAATTGAAACAAATAATTCGAGTCCACGATTCCAGAAATCTCTCTGCCTTACTTAGCACACTATTGGTGGCTTCTTCATCCGAATCCACAGGCGGAGTATATTTTTTCATATGAAATTGTCCGAAACCATAACAATAGGCTATGACCACACTTAAGATGAATAGATGTTTTAACATTTTTTCCACGATATTTCGAAAATTCCGCACGATCAAAAAAACAGAAACTTTGAAACAATAGTCAGTTATTCCGCTTAGTGTTTATGAGGCCACTCACTAACTAGCGAACAAATATTTTTCGAATAAACCGCATAGAAATTCAAGTGGGTTTGGGTGCTTCAACGCTTTCTCAGTGTGTGTATGTGTGCGAGTGACTGACAGTCATTCACACAATTTACAATGTGACAGGTTACACTCGAGGAAAAAAAATTGCACGAGTACCAAAAACCACCACCAAGGAAGCCATGGGACGATCAGGAGTGTCGTAATGCTACTGATGTGAAAAACGCAGCATATAGGGCAACCCTGCAGACAGTAGCAACACGTGATGGAGAATTATCGGTAGAAAAGAAGAGGGGAGAAACGATTTTACTTCGAAAAAATTAAAAATATTGCAAGCAACCCGTAAAAATAATTGCCAAATACTGGGTGCGTATACATGTTGACACTAGTCATACGCACCCAAGTCCATGGTTAGTAAATTTGATATGACCTTGAATGGTCTCCTCTCATTTACATGCTCATTGATTTGTAAACAAATAAATCACAATCATGAGAAGCACAAAAAATTCCGACCATAAACAAATCACAAAATTCCAAGAAATTATTCGCATACTCTTGAAATATTTCTCAGAACGGCAAAGGTGTAAATTATTTAATAGGGTGGTATGCAAAATGTGTGGAATTTTTTATTCTTTTTTAATGCATAGCCTTAGACGTAGGAGATGATAGATTCCAAGCAACGGATCGGATTGGCTTTAACATGGCGAAGTCCAGGCTTATCTTGGTGCCTCTTTCAACTCAATTGTGGACACTGACCTCCCCGCGGTGTCACCTGGGATAGCTCTTTTCATCACCCGTTGAAATAGTGAGCTAATATGTGCCTCAAGTTCACCCATAACAACTATAAAAAAATGGGTTGAGGCGTCGGGTTAGTTGCCCACACTCGGAAAACCGAACCTACTATGAAAAAGCAAAGAAAACGAAAACCAAACCCCCTTAATGTTGATGACCCCCGCATACGTATAAAGGAACACGATCTGCACGAATCCGCACTTGGAATGTGCGCACCTTGTACAGAACAGGCGCAGTTTTCGCTTTGGCGGATGTACTCAAGTGTATTAGACAAAGCCGATATTATTGCCTTACAGGAAATGCGATGGAAAGGCAAGTAAGTAAATCAGATGATTACGCCCTGTATTATAGCTGCCATGAAACGAGACATGAATTTGAATGCGGATTTATGGTTAACAGGAGAATAAAAGACCTCGCCTCCAGATTCACTCCAGTAGATAAGCGAATTGCTATAATCCGCATAGAAGCGAAGTTCTTCTACCGTCAGTCTTATTTGCGCCCATGCTCCGACCGAAGACAAAGATGAGTAGGCCGAATATATATTTTACGAGCGCCTAGAAACAGCATATGATGATCGCTGTCCTGACCAAGACATTAAATTTCTGCTAGGAGATTTTAATGCAAAAATCGGAAGAGAAAATATCTTTGGCCCCGCCGTTGGAAAATTCAGCCTTCATGAAGAAACATCCGACAACGGCATGAGGTTGATTGACTTCGCGGCAGCAAAAAACATTTGTAGTTCGCAGCACCAGGTTCACGCATCTCGATATACACAAGGCCACTTGGATTTCTCCTGATCAAGCAACGAGAAATCAAATTTATAGTGTCGTGATAGACGGAAGGCATTCATCCAGTGTATCAGATGTTCGATCGATCCGAGGAGCGAATAACGATTCGAACCACTACCTTGTAGCAGCCAAGGTTCGCACCCGTCTTAATGTTGCAACAAAGGTGCGATCTAATACAACACGGAAACTCGACGTCGAAAAGCTGCAAACACAACAGGTAGCCGAGGCCTACTTTGCTCAACTTACCCACCTGCTCGACGAAAGCAATTCTTGTCCCGATAATAGTATAGAAGCACAATGGCAGAGAATTTCCCACTCCCTACAAACTGCAGCAAAAGCAACACTTGGGTACCAAAAACCACCACCAAGAAACCCATGGTACGATCAGGAGTGTCGTAATGCTACTGAAGAGAAAAATGCAGCGTTTAGGACAACCCTGTAGACAGTAGCAACACGTAATGCCATGGAGAATTATCGGGAGAAAAGGAGAGAGGAGAAACGTGTTTTCAGAAAAAAAGAAGAATGAACAATAAAAACTTGAGCGTGAGCAAATCGAGATGTACAGGAATCAGAATGAAGTCCGGAAATTTTACCAAAACACCAAACCGAAGGTTTTGGTGCAGGCAAATCCTCCTGTAGAGATGAAGAAGGAAACCTGGTGAGAGATACAGACAGCGTTCTGAGGATCTGGAAGGAGCATATTGAAAAGCTTCTGGTATCAAATAGTGGCGGTGAAGAAGATACCCCAGAACCAATAAGAGATGATGGTATAGAGTGTATACCACCTAGCCAAGATGAGGTCATAAAAGCAATTAATCGGCTGAAGAACAATAAAACAGCAGGAGCCGACGGGTTACCAGCTGAACTATTCAGGCTGGTGGTCAGATGCTGGTCAGGAGCATGCACCAGATGATTAGTACAATTTGGCTAGAGGAATGCATGCCCAATGATTAGAACCTCAGCATTCTGTGTCCCGTGCACAAAAAAGGAGACAAGACAGAGAGATATGTGCCGACTATAGAGGAATTAGCATTCTTCCCACCGCATATAAAATGTTATCCAATGTGCTGTGTGAACGACTGAAGCCAATGGTCAATGACATTATTGAACCATACCAATGCGGCTTCAGACCTGGCAAATCCACCATTGACCAGATTTTCACTCTGCGACAAATTCTGGAAAAGACCCACGAAAAACACATCGACACATACCACCTATTCGTAGACTATAAAGCCGCATTTGACAGCCCAATCCGTTCAGAGGTGTTTAAAGCCATGTCTACGTTCGACATTCCTGCAAAATTTAGACGGCTATGCAGGATAACTTTAAGTGGCACAAAGGCAGCAGTTAAAGTCGGAAAGGACCTATCGGAGCCCGTTAATACCGAACGAGGATTCAGACAAGGTGAAGGATTGTCGTGTGATCTTTTTAACATCCTGCTGGAAAAGGCCATACGCGACACAAAGGTGAACAGAAATGTCACTCTGTACACCAAACAAGGCATGTTAATCGTCTACGCCGATGACATCGATATAATGGGTCGAACATTGCGAGCGGTAACAGCCACCTTTCAACAAATTGAGAAGGAGCCTGCCAAAGAGGGTCTGGCAGTAAACGACATGAAGACCACGATGGTATCAACGCGCATGACGTCCAGTAGACTCGGATCAACTCTGGAACTTGAGAACTTCAGCTTCGAGGTAGTCAAAAATTTGATATACCTTGGTACCGCCATAAATAAAACGAATTACATCAGTTTCGAAATACGGAGATGGATTGTGTTGGCCAACAGATGCTACTATGGTCTAAGTAAGCAGTTTAGAAACAAGGCCACCTTCCGCCAGGCCAAACTCACACTTTACAAAACGCTGATACTACCCGTGCTGTCATATGGATCTGAAGCATGAGTACTTGCGCAAGCAGATGAGGCAGCTCTTGGGGTGTTTGAAAGAAAAAATTAGCGAAAGATCTACGGGCCGATCTCGAATGAACCACGAGCTTTACAATTTATACGCGGACATCGACATAGTCAGTCGTATTGGATTGTGATGGCCAATAGATGCTACTATGTTCTAAGTAACCAGTTTAGAGACAAGGCCACCTCCCGCCAGACCAAACTCACACTTTACAAGACGCTGATACTACCCGTGCTGGTATATGGATCTGAAGCATGGGTACTTGCGCAAGCAGATGAGGCAGCTTTTGGGGTGTATGAAAGAAAAATTCTCTACGGCCCGATCTGCGTCGATGTTGAATATCGGCGTCGAATGAACCACGAGCTTTACAATTTATACGCGGACATTGACATAGTCAGTCGTATTGAGCTGCAGCGACTACGATGGCTAGGCCATAAAAAGCTCAAAAGACATATAAAAGCGAGCCTACTGATGGTTCCCGTAGAAGGGGAAGGCCACGAATCAGATGGAAAGACCAAATAGAAAATAACATCTTGGAACGTGGTCTTTCCAATTGGCGGAAATGCGCACAAGACCGACTTGGAAATCTTTTTTAAGCTCGGCTTATTGAACAACCGTTCTGTAACAAGAGGCCCAGGCGTGGATTTTTTAAAATAAAATTTTCAAAGACTATCCCAAGGCGTGGATTTTTTAAAATAAAATTTTCAAAGACTATCCCAAGGCGTGGATTTTTTAAAATAAAATTTTCAAAGACTATCCCAAGGCGTGGATTTTTTAAAATATAATTTTCACAGCCTATCCTCAGGCGTGGATTTTTAAAAATAAACTTTTCAAAGACTATCCTCAGGCGTGGGTTTTTTAAAATACAATTTTCAAAGACTATCCTCAGGCGTGGATTTTTTAAATTTATTTTTTTAAAGACTATCCTCAGGCGTGGATTTTTTTTTTTCAAAGACTAAGGCGTGGATTTTTTAAAATAAAATTTTAAAGGACTTTAGAAAGGCGTGGATTCTTTAAAATAAAATTTTAAAGGACTTTAGAAGGGCGTGGATTTTTTAAAATAAAATTTTCAAAGACTATCCTCAGGCGTGGATTTTTTAAAATAAAAATTTCAAAGACTATCCTCAGACGTGGATTTTTTAAAATAAAATTTTCAAAGACTATCCTCAGGCGTGGATTTTTTAAAATTATTTTTCCAATGCCGCGAACACTCTATTCTATTTCCAAAGGTCTTTTGGGTACAAAATCGCTGCACTTGGGTGCTGCTATTAGAATTCTGCTATCATTTTTCAGATTTCGCTCACAATTTATGTGTGAGTTCAGATGCTTTGTAATTTAGCCTAATCAAAGGTTTGAGAGAAAAAAAAAACAAAAGTGTAATTGTTTGTTAAACAAACAAAAA